AAATAACAGAACTTAACAATAAAAGGGTATACAGAGGGAAAAAAAAGGAAAAAGGAAGGGTGCTGGCAAAAGAGAGAGGGTGGCAAGGTCAGAAAATGTAAAAGGAAGACCCGACATAAAGAATGCATGAGACGAGCAGGTATGGAAGTACCATAGTGAGACCTATTTTTACACGCAAATTAAAAAAAAAAAAAATAACATTGAGAAAGTATAAGTGGGATTATATTAGAATAAAAACTTCTACACAGCAAAGGAAATAACCAATATAGAGAAGAAACAGCCTATTCTGGAGAGACTGTGAGGAAAAAGGAACCCTTCTCCACTGTTGGTGGGAGTGCAGACTGGTACAACCTCTATGCAAATCAGTACGGAGACGCCTTTAAAAACTAGGACTGGAAGTCTTGTTCAACCTAGCTGTTCCCCTTCACAGTATTTTTCCAAAAGAATTGAAAACATCATACCACAGTGATATATGTGCACCCATGTTTGTAGCAACACAATTTGTCATAGATAAACCTTACAGCCAACACAAATGCCCATCAACTGAGGAATGGATAAAAACGATGTGGTATTTTTGTACAATGCAATATTACTCAGCCATAAAGAAAGACATACTTGAGGTCTTTATGGGCAAATAGATGCAACTGGAGGCTGTACTCATAAGTGAAGTAAATTAGACCCACATGTATATATATCATATTGTCTCCCAAGTGTAGGAACCTGAAAGAATAAATAAAATCTGAAAGATATAATAGATATAGTAAAAAAACCTAAAACCTCAATGTAAGGAATAAACATTGAGGATGAGGGGAGTACAAAAGATAGGAAAAAAAGGTGGGGGAAAATCACTCAAGTATATGTACAGGACAGTTGAGATGACTGTGTTACTAATTTCTATCAGTTTTTTGAAAGTAACAGTTAATGCTTAAATTTTCACTATGACTAACCCTATATGCTGCTATCTGTAATCTGGGCAGCTACATCAAAGACCCAGTGTGCAATACAGAAACCAAGGCTGCATGCTTCTCACCTTGTTCTTGTAAAAGTGTACTGTTTCTGACTTTTTTGTTTAAAGTTATGTAATGTTTGCTTGTTTGTTTGTTTTCCATAACTTTATTGAGAAACAAATAGCAATGAGGTAGTTTCAAATCAACTTGGTAGGACAGCTTCAATAATTAACACATTGCATACTCTCTTCCTAGTTGTTATTTGCTGTACAAGATGCAGACATGATATCCTATTTACAAACACTATTAGAACAAATCCCTTTATTCATTAAGAGAATGTAACTATATATCTATCCTAACCACTTTGAATACAGATACAAAACAGACATTCATCTGTATCCCCTTTTTTGCTTAGTTCCATCATTTGAATATTATAGGTGTGTTAACTCAGCAAAATATTCTAAAAGAGTTCAGTAGTCCCTAATAGTATTGGGTCTTCTGCTTGATTGGAAATGTCAGAAATTGTTGACCTGAGTCCCCTACAGCTCAACATAACACCATGGCTTTACTTCTTATACTTCGGTTTTTTTTACTTTTCTGTTGGATGGTTAAGACCAAGATAAAGCAGGACCTAAGCAACAAGAGTTGTAGCTTTTGGGTCTGATAAGGTCAGTGAAATCCCCTCAGGATTTATCCAGAGATCCTGTACCTAGATTGTAGAGCCTTTGTCAGTGTCAGCCATGTGGATGTGTCACGGCCATTGCTTGGCCAATGTGCTCTCTGTGAAAACGTGAGAGAGTGTTTACTGTCCACGTAACTCTCCCTAGGCACACTCTACATCATCGATCACTTTCCTCTTTGGCCCCATAATCTCCTTGATCACAAAATTTGGTACAGTACTGAGTTACATGACATTACAGTACAAGTTCTCATATGTCCTGAGTCTTAATTGACCTTGGAAGGCTAGGGCCAAAATGTTGGCTTTCCTTGCTGCCCTCCTTTTTCTCTAATTTGGTCTGCAAACTTAGGCTGTTAACCCTCCAGAAGAGAAGGTTATTATTATCACCATACAACCTAGGCTGTACAACCTAA